TCTGGAGTAGCCCCTACCCCCTCTCCTCTGCCTTCTCCGCCATGGAGGTGTCCTCTCCACCAACCCTCATCTTTTTCGCACTAGGCACATCTGTAGCCCCCTCAGTGGTAACCTTCATCTTCTTCGACCTCGTCAGTCCCACTTCCACCTCTCGTCTACCCCTCTCCTTTAGGGGGTCTATAGGTTGTGGCAATGGGGCAAACTCACTCAGGTTCTTGTCACCCAAAGGCTTAGGGCGAGGTCGAATCCTCTCCATCATTACCAACTTCGGAGCAGGACCCAAATTTGCCTCTTTATACTTGTACGCTTAGGCAAACAATCTCCTCTCCTCCTCCTCCTCCTCCTCCGCCTTCCTCTGCGCCTCTAGCTCCTCTCTTGCTAGGTCCTCCTCTAACGGTTGCAGCCCCAAGTTCAGGGCAAACAACGTTGAAGGCAGGACCAGCTCGTCCCACCTTACCCGTCTCTTCCCTCCATTCCCTCACCCCCTTCACTCGGTCTTCGGCTGCCTCGTCCAACTTCGGCTCGATTGATTTGGTGGGGACCTTCCACGTTGTACACAACCCAGCCCCATCGTTCGCCATCACAAAGAACCATCTCGGTCTCCACCCCTTCACTGACGATAGAAGACCCGTCACCAGACCTACCCCTGCCACTGCTTGCAGCGTCACCCAGGTTTCCAGCTGACCGGAGGCCTTGTAGCAAGAGAAGAACTCCTCTACTGTCATTGCCGTCCCTCCGATCGCCTGCAGCCAGGCACTTGCACACGCCATTACTATCTTCCAGGCGTTCGGCATCAGTTGCCCTAGCGCCGCTTCTAGCTTGTTTAGCATATCCACCACTACTTGGAGGAGAGCTAGCCTCAAACCCCCTCGCAATGCTTCTTCGTACAAGCTAAATTTGCCCGGCCGCACATCTGATGCCCTTTCCTTGGTTGTGGGCAATCTTAGCCCTATCTCCGAGGGAATTTGATACTTCTTCCTTATTCCCTCAAACTCCTCTGCTGTCAGTACGGATCTGTCCGGTTTGGTGTACTAATGGTCCGGCTCCACCTGGCTAATAGGTCTCGCAGCCGAGATTATTGTCTTAGGGCGAGCCTGCACAGCTTGACTTGCTCTCTCCCCCTCCCTATGCTCCGTACAATATTGTTCCGCCAAGTCCGCCGTATCGTCGTCGCCTAACGGATCGACCCTTGCGGTTGTTGCTTTCTCTAGTGTTGTAGGGGTATATCACTGGCAACGAACGAGTTTACTTCTGGGATGTTTTGATTTTTTGCAAAGAGATAGGTAAAACGTATAATACCAAAAGCCCAAGATTGCCTATATTCCAAGGGTCACAATTAAATTTTTCCAGTTTGAAAATTTTCAAAAATCCGCCAAAACTGTCTTTTCAACACCCTATATTGACCTATCGCTTCATTTCTTGCTCAACGCCTAACCTTTCCCACTACAGGATTCCACCACGTCTACGACCAAGATCCACGCCCCCTTTTCGCCTTCCCTGTCTATTCCACTTCACTTCACCACGTGCCCCTGCCACTCCTCGAGCCCCGCGCACAGCCATTTGCCCCTCTCCATTCGGTCACCCTTTGCGGTCGGCCCTCCTCGTGGTCGGTCCCTCCATTCGGTCACCCTTTGTGTTCGGCCCTCCTCATGCTCGATCCCTCCACTCGGTCACCCTTTGCGATCGGCCCTCCTCATGCTCGATCCCTCCAGTTTAGCATATCCACCACTACTTGGAGGAGAGCTAGCCTCAAACCCCCTCGCAATGCTTCTTCGTACAAGCTAAATTTGCCCGGCCGCACATCTGATGCCCTTTCCTTGGTTGTGGGCAATCTTAGCCCTATCTCCGAGGGAATTTGATGCTTCTTCCTTATTCCTTCAAACTCCTCTGCTGTCAGTACGGATCTGTCCGGTTTGGTGTACTAATGGTCCGGCTCCACCTGGCTAATGGGTCTCGCAGCCGGGATTATTGTCTTAGGGCGAGCCCGCACAGCTTGACTTGCTCTCTCCCCCTCCCTACACTCCGTACAATATTGTTCCGCCAAGTCCGCCATATCGTCGTCGCCTAACGGATCGACCCTTGCGGTTGTTGCTTTCTCTAGTGTTGTAGGGGTGTATCACTGGCAACGAACGAGTTTACTTCTGGGATGTTTTGATTTTTTGCAAAGAGATAGGTAAAACGTATAATACCAAAAGCCCAAGATTGCCTATATTCCAAGGGTCACAATTAAATTTTTCCAGTTTGAAAATTTTCAAAAATCCGCCAAAACTGTCTTTTCAGCACCCTATATTGACCTATCGCTTCATTTCTTGCTCAACGCCTAACCTTTCCCACTACAGGATTCCGCCACGTGTACGACCAAGATCCACGCCCCCTTTTCCCCTTCCCTGTCTATTCCACTTCACTTCACCACGTGCCCCTGCCACTCCTCGAGCCCCGCGCACAGCCATTTGCCCCTCTCTATTCGGTCACCCTTTGCGGTCGGCCCTCCTCGTGGTCGGTCCCTCCATTCGGTCACCCTTTGTGTTCGGCCCTCCTCATGCTCGGTCCCTCCACTCGGTCACCCTTTGCGATCGGCCCTCCTCATGGTCGATCCCTCCATTCGGTCACCCTTCGCGGTCGACCCTCCTCATGGTTGGTCCCTTCACTCGGTCACCCCTTTGCGGTCGGCCCTCCTACTAGTCGCCCCTTCACTCGATCACCTTTTGCAGTCGGCCCTCCTCATGGTCGGCCCCCCCCCACTCGGTCACCCTTTGCGGTCAGCCCTCCTCATGGTCGGTCCCCCTACTCGGTCACCCTTCGCGGTCGGCCCTCCTCATGATCGGCTAACGTTTCCTTCTTTATTCCCTTCGTTAGACTAAAGCTGCACTCGGGAATGGGGGACTACTGACGTGGTTGAGCCCATAAAGACTACAGCCTACTATGAACAACCCACGCCCACCATTTAAGGCCCTAAATATAATTCAACTAATGAGGCCCAACATGGCTGGAACTCAACATGGCATTAAGAACCAATGACATTTAGACATGTGGCAGGTGAAGGACAAGCCACATCAGCAGACAAAGATCCTACAAAGTTATTGCACTGCACATTAGCCATTAATGAAGGTTCTTACAGTATTTATTGCGATAAGCCTTATCTGTCGAGACAAAAACGGCCTCACAATGAACAAGGCAAGTTAGAGCATAGACTTTCGGCCATGACGATAGGTCGGAAGGGACAATGAAATGATTACCACAGGATATAAACAGAGGCAGAAGACAGGAAGAAGGATAAGCTTTCCTATTTCTAATCTATCCCAACATCCCATCTCTCTTTCTAACTTGCTCGTCGGAGGGTTCAATGGGGGACTCCCTGTTCCCCGTTGAACTCTTATGCAGGTCTTCTGGTGGGCTTGGTACCTTGGGCACCAGTCAGAGAACTGTGGATCAATCCAACCCGTTCTATCTGGAACACGCTGTATCATTATTAGGATTTTCATCTGAAGCTTTTTTGCTTATTGCCTTTGATATCTGTGAGAGTTTAATCGTGAATTGAATGGATTATATCAAAGAGTTTGTTTATTTTATTTGTTCAATACAAAAGAGAGAGTTGTTCTTCGGTAGATTTCGTGGAATTTGGGCTTGAAACTTTGGTGGATTCTAGAGTGGCTCATTGTCGTGAATTCGACATCGACGTTGTGGATTCAACGTTGGGCAAGACAATTCCGAGGTGAACACCGTGGTGGAAGAGACCTATAGGGATCAATATAATTTGGGTGTGGATTCGCTACGTAATTGAGAATACACTTATGTAATTCTTTTTGTCTTCTTAGGCCATATTTGTTTGGGTGGACATGAGCTTAGGATTGGATTAATAGTCCAATAAAATTATTAATCCGATGTTTGGTTAAATAATTGAAGTATGGACTAATTATTTTAAACTTGACTATTAGTTAAGATATGATACATAATCCAATGGATTTGTAGTCTTAGGACTATTAGTCATGGGAATGCTAATCCAGTCCGCCCAAACAAACATGGCCTTAGTGGATTATTTTGTGACATTGGCCCGTGATTTTTTTATCACAATTGGGGGCGCTCCAATTGTGATTTTTCAACGTTAAATTCTTTGTGTTGATTTGTCTTGATTGTTTGATTGGAATTGCTATTTACTGTTTAAAATTGATATATAATCACAAATCAATATCTTGAGGTTTTTTTTAAGATTTTTCAAAGTTATTAGAGAATGAGAAAGGCGATATGTAGAGAAAATAGATGAAATTTGCACTCAGAATCTCTTGAAACTTTGTTAGATCACTAATTATTATTAAGAAATTAAATAAATAAATAAATAAATAAAAACTTGTGCTTTTAAAAATAGGACAAATCTTTTAAAAATTGATGAAGGTGACTTAAAATTTAAAAAATGTCCCTGTCAATAACATTACTCCTTTCTATTCAATTGCAGGGGAAGAATAACCAGTAGCCTTCATTGACAAAAACGACCCAATAAGGGGTAAGAAGTGTAAATTAATTTTCTATTTATTGCCTGTGAGTCTGCAATGAAGTGCAATGCATTGACGTTATGAATATTTATTGCCTCCAACTGTTGCAAGTTGGCAATACACTTCAAAGATCAAAGACAATACATGTCGGTAGTTTTTCCTCACTCAGTAATTGATTTTTTAACGGATTTATTTTTGTTGTTTGGGTGTTTGTTTGGCCTTTTATAATCTTCTTGTTTTTTATTTTAAGGTAAGTGCTTTTTCATGTTCTCAAAAAAGAATAAAGAATGAAAATGTACTCAAAATGAGAAACACTGTGGTACACATTCTTCAAATTATGTGTATTATATGCATCTTATAATTAAACAAGACATAATTTTATACTTTCTGAATCATAACTAAAAAAATATCATAATCAAACTTAACATAAGGCGTAACGAAATATTTCATGAATCATAACTAAAATAATATCATAAGTATATAAGAAAATGACATAATTAAGAATGCATATAGTACACCTTGTCAACTCAAGGGCGTGCACATTAAAATTTCCCACTCAAAATAAGCAAACGTTACTCATAACAAATATGCAATTTGAAGTAGCTATTGTATAATAAAATTGATATTTTAAGGTTTTCTCTCTTTCTTTTTTTTCTCCTTTCTATTTTGCCATTTTTATTGCATAGCAAAATAATTAACACGATATAAAATGCAGCATTCACACCCCAACAATAATGGGTAAGTATTTGACAAGGCCTAACTAAAGATTCACACTTGATGAAGAAGAAATTAAAGAGAAGGGAAAGAAACTAAAACTTTGCCAACTCCAGACCATCTTTATCTATGACTTTTATGGGGTTTGGATTGGAATTTAAAGGTGATGCGGTGCTTCACATCCTCTATCTAGTACTTGAGATTTGAGTAGGCCAATATATATAATATAATAATTGGGGAGAAGAGAGACTACTTAATCACACATTGAAGAAGCCTTCCAAATTTGCTCAAGTTCTCTTGCAAAGGCCTTCTGATGACTTCCAACTACAAGGGTGATGTGGTCTTTGTTGTCAACCACCTTCACACGGGCACGAGGAATTCTGGACTGGACATGGTAGCTACATTCCACGGGGATGAGCTCGTCATCTCTACCATGGAATATGGTGACATGGCATTTGAGACGATTTCGGACAATGTCCAAATATTCATCAATTTTTCCAGCAGTCCCACATATGATGTTGTGTAGGGTGTGCCATGCAGCGTTATGGGTGTGGCAACAGAACCCTTCGATCAAAAAGGTCTTGATCCTGTAAATGTTTTCCCCCAAAATTAATTAGCTACATTAATAGTATTAATTAATACCCTAGATTACCAGTAGCTAGCTACCTAGCTGATCGTAGTTGATATAAGTCATTGTCCATAATTAATTGTTTAAAATTTGAAAATTTGTTGACCAAAGAGACCCTAAAAAAACTAGTGTACGACAACAGCAAGAGCAAGTTAATTTATTACCAGTATTAAATTTGCTTCTCAACTACATTTGACCATCCTCCCTCAGCGTTGGAGTACTTGAATTGACACAAATACCCCCTCTTAAATAATATTATATGTCACTCCCTTATTTTAAAATTACACTTCTGAATTAGGATAGTCTAATCCACACTCTTCTCCCTCGTAAGGTGTTTTTTTGATCTTTCTACACCTTTTGACAATTGTGTGGCTCTAATGCTTGCTTTATTTTTAGAGTATTGTATACGAATATTTTTTTTTTAAACAAATTAATAGTCTTATTCACAGTCTTCTAAAATTTTACAAAAAGAAAATGGGTTTGGTTTTTGTAAGTTTCCCCGATTCAAATGGTAGAGATCCCCATCAATATGTGTCTTTTTGAAGAGAGTCTCCTGGCATTTAATAGAATCAAAGTATGAATTATTTCATTTCATTTCATTTTATTTTTGTGTTTGGTGGTCCAGCTCACATCATGTCACATGTTGTGCATTCTGTAAATAATATGATTTCGTGCCACCAAGCCTAAAACCAAAGAATTTTTAGGTCATCAATTGTTAAGCATTTTCATAAATCTCTATTGCCATAGAGAATGGATCAGTTAAAGCAATAGAAAACATATTTTCCTTTTTCTTTTTCTTTTTTTTCAAAGTCATATAATTCATACTATATTAGCTGCTATTTTAGCTAAGAAACAACATACACAAAAAAAAAATGTATCTCTATTTTAGTTAGTCATTTTTTAATAATACTTTTCGTTTTGGCTAGTCATTTTAATAAACATTTATGTATACATTAACATACAATCTACAATTCTTTCCTAAGTTTTTAATTGATGTGATTCTTTTTTTTAAATATATACCTACACTCTCTCCAATTAGAAAGAGAAAGCGAGTGAGTAAAAAGATAGAGAAAATACTATTTACTTTACATTCGGCTAGTCAATGTTGGCGCACCCATTTAGATGGAAAAAATACTATTTACTTTACATTCGACTAGTCAATATTGGCCCACCCATTTAATATTGGCCCATTGAGGATCCTCTATACACAATTTCTCTATTTTCAATCTCAAAACAATCCGAGCCATTAAATTACGTAAGAATTTCAAGATATATTCAACGAGACAATGAGTGATTTGGTATTGAAAGACAGATTTAGGGACATCGTGTCATGATAATCTGTTAAATTTGAATAATGTTAGGGATCATAAAAAAAATATCACGAAGATGATCGTGAAAGATTCTTTACTTTTGAATTACACACATAATAAAACATCACACACTAATCAAAGGATGAAAGATTTTCATAATACGTTTCATAATATTTTTTCATGATCTCTATGCATTCTCGCTAAATTTAGATGCCTAGCCTGTCACCTAGGACAAATGACTAAATTAAGCAAAAGATAGTAGTGAATTTGATTAAAAATGCCCATTTGGCTAGTACCTGTTTCTGGTGATAAGTTTGGTGAGAAAGTCCCACAAGCGGTGCTGTTTGCAAATGAGTAGGCAAACTGTCCGGCTGACGTGCTCATACCAGCATGCTATTGACGATCCGAACGCAATCGGTGGCCACACTCTCCTCGGCGCCAATTTTCTCATCAAATACTGTGTGCCTTGTTCCCCCTTTGGTATTGGAAAATATGGCTGCCCATTTCATTTCATTTCATTTTATTTTTAATTAATCAATCACTTCATTTAGAAATTAATGATGAGAGAGAGAGAGAGAGAGAGAGGAGTAAACTTACAGGTGCAAGCAGGGTTAAGGACTTGACGGAGGCAGGGTGTTTAACGGCGAGAGCAAGGGCCAAAATGCAACCTAAGGAATGAGCCACAATGTGAAATGACTGAACTTTGTAAGGCTCAATAACGGAGCGTTCGATCATGTCCAAATGCTCCCTCAGTGTGTAAAGGGAGTCAGTTGGCTTGGGACTTCTTCCAAACCCAAGTAGATCAATTGCGAGCAGCCTGTACATTGATTTTGCTGACTCGGAGAAATTCGGAAACAATGTCTCCGTCCAAAATGCAGATGATGAGATGAACCCATGAATGAACAGCACATCTTCTTTCATGTTGTCTATATAGCAAGCACCCACCATCAATATATGAATGAATTTGAGGAAAACTTGAAATCTTGAAGACTAGTATGTGATTAATTAATGAATATACCTCTGGCTCCATCAGCTCGGACAAAAAGAGTTTCTTTGGAAGAAGAGGTCCAAGAAGTGCAAGTTTTGCAATCGCAATCGGACCATCTTGGGATGGGATGGGATTGCTGCCCTCCGATCTTGCCTCGTAGCATTTCAACGATGGTGGAATTAATGCCGAAGGTGGATCGGACTGGCCCTCCTCCTCCTCTTCTCCTGATCTTCTCGGAGGACGGCCACGATTGTATAATGGTGCCGTCCAGCTTGATCCGTTTGAGCTCGTCCACAGTAGATTTGGAGGCCTCGGACACCACGGAAGAACGAGTGTAGAGGGTGTCGGAGATCTCTTCAAGCTGCAATTTAGTAGAAGTGAGACGAACGATCTTAGACTCACCTGGTTCGGAGACCAAGATCTTGCCACTGCTCGTGATGGCTTCTTTTGCTGAAGAGCAGTAACACGGCCTCCATTCGGCTTCGATCAAGAAATCAGCCATTTTGTAAACGTAACACAGTAGGAAATCAAGAATGTCTACAATTGAGAAGACAATGAAGCTCAGAACTTTGTTAATCACTGCTCCTGTCAATGCTAAAACTGATCTGGCTTTGCCCAAGACATCCATTTCCGAGAAAACCACCACCAACCCACACCACACCACACCAAACTGCGGTACACAGAGAGAGAGAGAGAGAGAGAGAGAGAGAGAGAGAAAGAGAGAGAGGGAGAGGGAGAGGGTGGGCCGTGTGTGGGCGAGATTCACGAAGATGGTGTTAAGGCAGCCAGATTAGCTTTATGTGCGATGAGATGATGAGATTAATGACATTGATGCAACAAAGTCCACTTGTTAGCTTCGTCGTGTCTTCTCTTATTAATACGCAAATGACACACAACCATTAAAGAAAAAACTAACACAAGAAAATTTGGGGGCCTTTGCTCTTCTTGGTTTCTGCAAATGGTCATGGAAAATAACCCACCATGCACAAAACGTCTTCACCCCGTTCGATTTCAGGAAAGCGCGTGAGTGCTTCTCTTAAAACTCATTAGCGAAAAGAGAGATGGCCCAAACAAGTAACATGCAAGAGGTAAATCATAAATGAATGTAGGGCCCTCCTAGAGAGCTCTAATTAGAGCTGCTCAAAAGCAGTTCTAATGAGCTGTCACCCTTGAAAAAAAAATAAATAAATAAATAAAAATAAAAATAGGAGGAGGTAAAAGACAACACAGGAGCACAAAAAGAACAAATTAATACCTTTTTAGAGCTCTAATTTTAGAGGTCTCACTCATTTCTGAATGAATGTAAAAATAACTATTTTGTAACAAAAATAATTTATAAATTATTATTATTATTATTTTTTGGGGGGACCTATCTGTAATTCTAGTAGTCATAAAGGCACACTTAAGTGCTAACGGGATGAGATTTTAGCTTCAAGTTATTGGAGTGGCATTAGCCTATCTAAGGCCTGGTTTGATAAATAATAATTTTAGTTTAGAAGTTAAAAAATTATTAAAAAAAATAAAAAAAAAATTATAATTTATATCAAAAAGTTAAAGATGTCATTTTCTCTCTACTTTTTACACATCTTTTCATATAAAATCAAAAAGTCATTCTAAACATATTAATTTTTTTTCTTCATATTTTAACCTAAAAAGTTATTAAAATAGCTTATTTCCAAAGGAGTCTAACTCTTTTTTTTTTGTTTTTTTTTTTGATACTTCGGAAAGAATTTATTATTATTATTATTATTATAATTGAGTGTTCGGAACGTTTCCATGCACCACGACTCTATTGTTAACCTCCTACCTTGTGACAAGCAAATATATAAGGAATTTTCATGGTGTTTTTGAAATTATTAGTCAAAATAATAGAACTACACTATTGAATTTATCATTTCTTATTTTGTAATTATCAATCATAGTGATGAGTTTTAGATTTTCAATAAATACATATAGTCAAATACTGTTAATATTGAGAGTGTGGCATTTTGATATTCATAAAAAGTGTATTAAATTTAGTAATGAACATTTTCAAATCTGCATTTTTTTTATCTTCTTTATTTTCTTTTTTTTTTTTTCTTTTTTTGTTTTAACGATCTAGGACCACTTACTAATAAGACTCATATATATAAATGGATCACATTATTATGTACAAAATATTTTTATATAAATTCTATTTTTATAACATTACCCTAAAGGATGAATACATTGTTGCATTAAAATGGTTTGTTGGCCAAGGAGAAGAAGTTAGGTGGTGGTTGAACCTCCAGGAGAAGTATGGGTTTTCCTCAAGAACTATCAGGCTTGACAAGCTTCCTTCCCTTCACACCTTCCTACTAAAACTATTTTTTCTCTCACACACACTTAGTAAACAAATCAACTAAAGTGTTTTCTTAATTTCTCAAATCCAGAACAACGAGCTTTCTTGTCCAATTCTTTTTCCCCTAACTTACTACATGTCACTCAAAAGTAGCCTGACTAATTAATGAATGTAAATTTTTTCAAAGTGAATAGGACTCCAAACCTCTTGTATTTATTGCTATTTGTCTAGAGGCCACATGACTCCTATCCCCTTACGACCCAACCCTTCACCACCGTCCTATAAGCCCCCTCTTATAAATGTATATATTTTTTTTTTTTTGTTCTTGCTGATTGTGTTAATCTGAGAAATAAGACAAAAAAAATAATAAATAAATAAAATAAAAAATGAAATCTCCATTCAATGAATATTTGATAGAGAAAATTGGTGATAAATTTAATCTAAGGAATATAAGGTATTAAGTTTAGTGCATATTTTTTTGTTGGTGAGAGATTCACGGGAGCTTCTATATACACACACCCTTTCCTCTCTATACAAATCTTTCTTAATACACACTAAAAAAATAAATCCTAATATATTTGACTCACTACACACACCTATTATTCCACATATACCCTCCAATGTAAATCATACACACACACCCCCTCTCACATACACACACACCCGTGAGACCCCTTTCACACACACACCCATCTGAGAACCCCTCTCACACACACACCCATCTCTCACACTCTCCACCGTTCCTCTCCAAAAGCTTCATCCATCCATTTGTTTCATTGAAGTTTTGACATCATTGAAGTTTTGCCATTGAAGGGCGTTGAAGGGCATTGAAGAACATTGAAATTTTCACATTTTAGGTTAGTTTACACAGATTATAATCTTCTCATTCCTATTTTATTTGTAATGTAGGGTTAATTTTTACCATTTTCGAAATTTCCAGTCCACCCCAATGTAAGTGATTGCCGTGTTTCATTCGGAATTGGTTATTCAAAATTTTTGTTTTTGTTCGGCATTAGAGTTCCGAAATTTCTGCTTCTATTCGGCACTATAGTTCCGAAAATATTTACTTGGTTCGGCTTTCAAGTGCCGAAAATAATTTTTTTTTTTCAGTTTTCAACTTCCGAGTAGTAGCTATAATTTCGGACAACAACTTCCGAACAGAACAGGTATTTTCGGACAACAACTTCCTAGTGCATATTTTTTTGTTGGTGAAAGATTCACACTTTGTGAAATAATTTGATGAGAAGTTCCATAAGAGATTTTATTTCCAATTTCACCCCTTGACTTTTTTTTTATCTATTTGACTTTTCGTTGATTATCTATTCAAATTTATATTTATCTATTCAAATTTTTTGTCTATCTGTTCAAATATTTTGTTCATCTATTCAAATTTATACCTATCTTTTCAAGAAATTTAACTATTTATTCAATTCCCCCCTCCTAAATTCTATCTATCTTTCAAATTTTTTCCTAAATTCTATCTATCTGTTTAATTTTATTTTTTTTCCTAAATTCTAACTATTTATTTAATTTTTCTTATCTATTAAAATAACAATTTCTTATCTGTTACTCAAATCACTACAAGAAATTACACTTTCCGCGACCAACGTTTTTGGTCGCAAAAAGTACCATATTTGGTCACTAAAATCTTTTCACGACCAAAAATGTGTTGGTTGCGAGTTGGTTACTAAAGCCTCGTCACAGATAGTTTTCTGCGACTAAAGTTATAGTTGGTCGCTAAAAGGAACCATTGGCGACCAAATAATTGGTCGCGGAAAGTCTAATCCATATTAGCCAAAAGGTAACTTTTAGTGACCAAAGCTATAGTTGGTTGCCACAAGTCAGCGCCTTCACCCAAAAAAACAATATTCTTTTACATTGCATGGGAGTTAAACTCCTGACCAAGGAGTCACTCTCCATGCACCTAATCCACTTTGCCAATAACATGCTTATTGTTCACATTTGGCAGAGAAAATATATAACCCATAAAAATTGGGTTATATATTATTTCATAAAACCTTCAATGCCTAAACAGAAAAATAGAATATAATTACAGTACTACCCGTTTTTTTTTTAATTTATTCCACCATAACTTTCCGCGTCCAACTTATTTTTTGGTCGCCAAAAGGTGATCTTCCGCGACCAAATTTGTAGTTGGTCCCCAATAGTTAAGTCATTCGCGACCAACTTATTTTTTGGTTGCCAAAAGACGACCTTCTGCGACCGAATTTGTATTTGGTCGCCAAAACTTAGCTATTAGCCACCAAAAAATTGTTGGTCGCAAAAACATACCCATCAGCGACCAAAAAAATTTTCGTCGCAAAAAGTGGACTATTTGTGACCAACTCAAAATAGGTGGTTACCAAAAGTGTTTTTCTTTGTAGTGAATTCGAAAGTCCATTTTTTCTATCTGTTTGAAATTCACAAACTAATTTTTCTATCTGTTGGAATTATCCACTACCAACACTCAAACATCACACAAAAATTCATAAATTATTATTATCTGTTCAAATTTTGAATAATTTTTCCCTATATCTGTTCAAAATTTGAACGATATCTCACTTATCTTTTCAAAATTTGTCATATACATGTTTCATCATCATCAACATTATCATCAATAACAACTAAAAAAATAATAATCAATAACAACTATAAAATAGAAAAAAGTAAAAATCTTTTCAATTGAACAAATCGGTGGCCTTCTCCATAGATCCAGATCTACCACACACCAGATCTAACATAGATCTAAGCTGAAGTAAAAAATAAAAAATAGATAATAGATAATAGATATATATTCAACAGATCACGTGTTCCTCATCTTCATCAACAACAGATCTAACACAGTCTGAGCTCAAATCTAAAAAAAATATTTTAAAAAAAATCTATCATACACACATACACAAAGAAACTCAGTAGATCGTTGCTGCGATGGCAACGCGGCGACAATGGCGGTGAAGCGGTGATAGGTTGCTACGGTGCGGCGACAATGGTTCCCAACGGTGTCTTTGGACACAACCGGAAACAACAGTCGACGAGAGTAATAGAAATGGGAGATCTAGGTTTGTGCTACATTCTCAGCTGGTAAAGAAAGTGAGAAAGAGGTGACGAAGGCGTTGTGGCGATGGAGGCAATGATCGCGGCGCAAGTGAGGTCGAGAAAATGATGGCAATTTAGACCATGACGAGAGAGAGAGTGTGTGTGTGTGTGTGAGTGAGGGTTAGGGTTTGGTTCTATCGGGGAGAATGAGGCTTAAACAATATATATATATACGTAGTAGTTCGATCAATTTGCTAAAACTTATCCTTGTAAACAAAGAAAATCAGCGCCTAAACATTTGGACAAAGAAAAGTCAATTTTAGACTTTTGGCCTCAACGCCCTATTGGATATTATTTTTGGATTAAAAAAATTAACAAAAAAAAGAAAAGGATATTAGATGTTATGTTTAAAAAAGGTTAATATCTATGACTGTTTCAGCACCTTTACTACACACGATGGTGGGTTATTTGCAATGGACCCCTCTTTTCTCCATATAGTCTTGTCCTCAAATTAAGCCTAGATTGTGACTAAAATGTCATTTAAAGAATTAATTAACCCGAATTAACCCAATTGTACAATTATCTCCCTCCCCATTTGATGCAACAAAGGCCACCTCTTTTCTTCATCGTGATTTTTCAAATAAAATGTTGTGATCAATAGACAATTGATCGGTTAGCAATT